CGGGAACAGATGGTAATCCGAGGAAACTAGATTGCATGAATAGTGTGGATGCAGAACTAGTTCAAATTGCAGTTTGACCAATTTTTGCTCAACAAGACGACTTGAATGAGCCGGTGCGTTGTCATGGTAGAACAACATCTTTTTGGTGATTCCTGGACATTTCTCCGCGATCACTGCTTTTAATCGGTCCAAAAACGATGCAAAGTATTTTCTAGTAATAGTTTTTCCCTTCTCGAGGTAGTCAAACAGGAGAATTCTTTCACATCCCAAAAAACTGACACCAACCTTTCCAGCAGAACATATTTCGCCTTTTTCGCCGGTTCCCCACATGTAGTCCACTGTTTCGACTGCTATTTTATTTTCAGGATATAATGGTGAATCTAAGCTTTGTCCATGGTTACAAAACACCACAAAAAATCCGCTGGATTCTTCAACACTTGCAAACAGTCGTCTAATGTTTGCTTGTGAGTTATTACTCTGGTGTAAACAAACGTGGCACCCATCTTGCGTTAGGATTTTTTATGTGCAATTCATTATGAAAAATGAAGTGAACCCGCCCAGTTAAGATGCCTCTTAAGTGGCCTCTGCTAACTCACGTACTTTCACTCGTCTGTCGGCCAAAACCATATCATTGACTTCATCGATGATTTTTGGCGTCACAGCTGATTCCGAGGTTCCAGGATGTGGTGCATCTTGTTCTGCCACGCTTGGATTTCTTTGCTCAATGGCGAAAAATTTCATAGGAAAGGCATAAGTTACCCAATGTAGAAGAAATCCTCTCATGAATTTCTTTTGTTGTTTTACCTTCTGGAAAAAAATGAATCACACCACAAATTCCAATTTTATTCATTTTCCACTGTCACTCTAAACACTTCTGTTTAAGCAACTGTCAAATAACAAATTATTGCCAAAATAACTTGTGACCATAGAATATTCATCTATAGGATGGACACTTTATGATCACATATAGAGATGTCACTGTCGTCTTCAAATAATATGCCAACCAAATTACTTGTCAAACCACTCTCGCACTATCTCTTCTGAAAATTGAAACAAGACCTTTGAGGAAGAAAATATTTGGACCACAGTGAGATGCGAGATGCAGTTTTTTTTTATCATTTTCCAGATAAAATTTTGGACTATTTTTTTAAAGGCCTAGAAATGTTAATTTAAAGATATGAAAAATATATGAAGTAAGAAGAGATTATGTTGAGAAGTGATACTGCTGTTTTCTTTATATCACTTCTAAAAGTTAGTCAGGCCGGAAACTTCTGGAACTTACTAAGTATTTTTCAACAACATTACTTAAATACTTTTGCACTTAAAATTATATATGTAATCGATCGCTGTAACCAAAACATAGAAAAACTTTTAAAAATTTTCAATGCATTTTGTAAACGCATCGATGCACGAATGTACAATGATTAATATCAGTAAAGGATTTCTTTTAAATTATTATATAGAAAAATGTTAAGATGATGTTATTGAAAAGTAAATACTTTATGAGATATTTCATATTTTGGGCTAAATAATATCAGGATGAAAAGTAAGATATTTTGAAAAGTGTTCAACTTTATCCGTTTACTTTTCGATAATCATATTCTACTATTTTTTTATGCAGAATAAACAGAAGAATTGATTTGTATTAAAAAAATATTACAGAGTACTGTTGTAAGCGCAACGATAATGTATGTCAAAGATTATAAACGGGGTCACGGCTCCGTATTACCAAACGTCGCTATGCAGAAATGCAACCTGACATTCCTGCAATAGAGATATCGAAATCAGGATGGTCAGCGTCCTCATTTAGATGACGCTGACACATCAACTCCGTCCCCTCCGATTAAATCATAGGACGAGTATAATAGGAGACATAAGACCGGTGCGGATGCGACTCACAATCTCAACTCTCGGGTACCGACACGCTATCGAACGCGTGCACGATATTGTAACGTGCGACTCAAATTCTCGGACACCGACACGCTGTCGGACGCGTACGTAAAAGTGTATCGGGCAATCAAGAAATAAACGACCAGTTCCGTTTTAACCATCAAAAAGAAGCACTTTATTCATTATCGCGCCTCGCCACCTCCTCCTGCTCTATCGCGCTGTACCCGGGCAACCCCACATTTTCCTGCGATGTTTCGGCGCCGCAACAGTACGTCAGTTAAATCCGGACAAATTCAATTTGAATTTCTCGCCATATTTTATTTCAGCACTAACTTGGTATTTGTGTCCGAATAAGATAAAACAATGTTCTGAACGAGCATAACTTCAAAATAGCTGGACAGTCAAGAATGAGCAAAGAATATAACCAAAGAGCAGTGATTATTGAAAGTCTTCGTGCTGGACGTACGCCAGCCGAAATAATTGAGTTTTTCAAATATCCGAGATCGACAGTTTACGAAGTTTCCGCTAAATATAATGCTTCGGAGAAGTCTGCAGATTCCGCAAACCCGTCAAGAAAAAGCAATTCAAAGGAGAAGTCGGCAAGGACCCTAGGAAGTTGTCCAAAAGGTCCAAAAGCTGATTGCAGAAGACCTAAGGCAGTCTTTCAAGAAATTGGCGACAATTTTGCTTTAGATGGACCCTGTGGTCTCCGAGAGACCGTACATCTTCCAACAGGACCGCGCATCAGCTCACAGGAGTCATTTGGACCTAAAGTGGCTGTCTCACAACGTCGACATATTTTGCAGCAAGAGTTTTGGTCTTTGAATATTCCAGATTTAAATCCGTTGGATTATTACGTGTGGAACGTGATTGAAAAGGTCATTATCAAGTCGAGACATCTTAATGTGGCAACTCTCCATGCCGCTATTGAAGCAGCATTTTTCCATATGGACAAGCCGGTGTTAAACAAAACGTACAATTGCTGAAGGTCCAGGATCGAGGCAATAATAGCGGCAGACGATGGTTACATTGAGTAATTCCTGCCTATAACAGTTCTACAAATGACACTAAAAAAGATTTTTATATAATTTTGTACGTCAGACCAATAAACTTTTGTTAAATATTGGGTGTGGGAAAAAGTTTGTGGCGTTTGGCACTAGATAGCATTATTTGCTTAGCACTCGGTAACTACTAATTGCATCGATAACACTAGACACGCGTGACATTTCAACCTTTGTTGTGAGCCGAAAAGATTGAAATCGATGAAATGGATCAAAAGTTGTTTTATTTTGAAAATGGAGATAAATGAGAAAAAAATTTACTACATTTTGCAGTATTACTACGATAAAAGCAAAAACACTGCACAAGTTTTTGAAAAAATTTGTGCAGTTTACTGTGAAGATATTTAATCAAAATCAGTAGCACGAAAATGGTTTGCTTGCTTTTGTACTGGAAATTTCGATGTTAAAGATGAACCTTGCTCTGGTCAACCAATCACTAAAAAGTCCGCTGAAATCATGGAGAAAGTTGAACGTGATAAGCACATGAGCAGTGTGGAGATTGCTAGGGAATTAGGTATCGACCACAAAACAGTTTCGAAATATTTACACAAAGCTGGAAAAAGAAACTCGAGGTTTGGGTTTCTTACGAGTTGAGTGTTAAGAACATGATGGGCCAAATTAATATTTGCGATTCGCTATTGAAACGGAATGAAATTGAGCCATTTCTGAAGAGAATGATAACTGGTGATGAAAAATGAGTTACGTACGACAATCGAACTCGAAAATGATCGTGGACAAAGGAAGGAGGGAAGGCACAAGCAGTCGCAAAACCTGAATGGACGACAAAGAAGATGAAGATGATATTGTGTGTGTGGTGATATTGAAAGGAAATCGTTCATTATGAGCTGTTACCGCCCGGTCAAATAATTAATTCCGAACTCTACTGTGAACAACTGGAGAAGATACAACAAGCAATTGAGAGGGAGCGGCCAGAATTGGTCAATAGAAGAGGTGTCGTCTTCCATCCTGACAACGTTTGACCACACACATCTTTAATGACTCGGCAAAAATTGCAAAAGCTTAGCTGGGAAGTTTTACATCCATTGTATAGTCCTATCGTAGCACTTTCAGACTGTCATTTGTTTAGGTTTCTGTAGAACTCTCTTAATGATGTAAAATTGCCTTCAAAAGAGGCCTGTGAAAATCACTTAAAGCAGTTTTTTGACCAGTAACCACGGAAGTTCTATCACGATGGGATTATGGCTCTGCTCCAAAAGATGGTAAAATATTATCGAAAATAATAGAGCATTTGGTTTGGACAAATTGATTTTAATACACTAGGAAGAAGCACTTGAATTTTATTAAAAAACGTCACGAACTTTTTCCCACATCCAATACGTTGTTTATTTTCACTTGGCCTTGACGCCTTCTCTCAAGATTAGATTGATAAAATTAGTAAATAGATCTGTTTAAACCTTATAACTTTTATTTAAATCATTATTTTTAAAATTTCCTCGTTTATCAGATATTCGATTATACTCAGGCTTTTGGCCTATCCTATATATCGCAAGTTGTAAGTTTCTTATTCATACAGACTCGCTTAATTAGCAGTTGTAAAAAGTAGATAGATACGGATGAAAAAAATGACTTTTCTTTCTAAAAGAACACACTTTCCAGACTCGAGCTTGTATGTACGATTGATAGTTAATATTGATAAAATCATAGTGTTGATTATATGCCATTCTTTGGGCGAAATCCGGGGAAAAACTGCGTATGCCAAGTCTATTTTTTTATATTATCAGTGTTTACATATTGTTACGTCCTGAATGGTCCGTGACGTGCGTAACGGGAGCGGCTCCGCCACGCTTAACAGCTAATTAAGCCGAAAGGGAAGGTGGGAAGGTTTTACGCGTGGTTCTAAAATAGAATAGCGGAATAAATAAGATTATTAAGAAAAGAAACAGGAACAACATAAAATGAAAAAGTAATACAACTTATTATTATCTTCACGAAATTTAGATAATTTTCGATCGAGATGGCAACAGATTTTTCGTTATAACCCGAACGAATACAATAAAATTAACTGCGTCGGACGGTGTCGCGATATAGATGCAGGTTCGTGTTATTGCTATTATTGTATAAAGATAAGCTTAAATTTGATGACGGCTGGTACAATACTGTAGATCGGAAGAAGTACCTTGCTGAAGAAAGAAGTGGGAGATAGGCGGCAGAGTTGAGATTTCGTATGATGCCTGGCATTCACTGATGCGCCACATAGACTTTATTGAAGATGCTACTTCTCGTTTACTCGAGGAGACTAAGAGCTCACGAAACTAACTCATGAAAAGAAGAATTAAGAGATTGATTGAGAAAAGCTGGTTGACTAAGGAAAAAACACTACTGCTCTCTTGAAGAATACTGCTTTCACTACTGAGTTCTAAAGAAGAATAGCCATGCTGCTAAAGACGAGGCCCTTATTTATATGCTCGCCCTAGTCTCCTCTTCTTTCTGCAACTGCAATAGTCAGCATATTTCAGTGGGAACACTAACGGATCTGAGCATCTCATCTGAGCATCCCCCGTGTCTTAGTTGTTCATTCAGTCTTTTTGTCTTATTCATTCTCATTAAAGCTTTTTACTTCGTTCCTATTAGTTCGAGTCACAGTACTCTTTGACTTTTATATTCATTTATTCGACACTCAGTATTCTCTTTAGAGCGGCTCGCTCCCTCATACGAGGTTAGTTAGTCAGCTCTCTGGTAATCGAGCAGTTTTTACAAACGCTCCCGGCAAACCAGGCAAGTTTAAACCACGGTGCAGTGAGTTCCAGTTCCGCCTTCACACCGAGTTCCTACTTCGTGCGCACGAGCCCTGTAATAGCCGTCCGTAACGTAAGTCTTGTTTTCTTGTACTTTTGAAATATACGAATTTGATATCAGGATCCCATGCAAATCTCCAGACATGTGAAATGCCTTGTATCTTATCTCACTGCTGCATCGCGACCCAGAACAGATAAAGCTCTTATTAATATACTTTAATTATTGGAATCCTGCTTAGAGCTTATCCAGTTGAAATAAAGTAATTACGTCCTACTCGAGTGTCTAATAAGTGTGTTCTTTCTAAATTCAAAGTTCTTTCAAAATTCTAAATTCAAAACTTTATACTCTAAGTTTTGCAAGCCACATTGAAACAATTCTAAATCAAGCGACATTTAATTATTGAAGGAAACATTTAATTTTAACTAAGGCGCTTTAGAACATTGCTTATAAATCCTCTCGCTCTTACCACATCTACTCCCTCTCCCTGGCTGCTCACCTCGGAGTTTGAGTTCGCTGAAATATCCTGAAATCCCATTGATAAATTTGTTATGCAGATAGCTCGCCTAGGTGCAGAGCCTGCTATCCTTGTCAGACCCGCTTCGCAGATAGCTCGCCTAGGAGCAGAGCCTGCTATCCTTATCGGCAACGCACATTTACACGTGGCCGCTCGCCTAGGAGCTGAGTTAGCCATCGTGAGTATAACCTAGAGAACCTTACCTAGAATCTAAAAGTAAATTTGATATTAATATAGAATACGCGTATTGCTAGATGCCTCATAAACGACGACGAGGAGTACGTAAAATTAGAGAAAAGAGAGCTCGTATTGCCGCTAAACTCAGGAGACCGAGAATTATCTCCGACCAGACAGGAACCTTCATATCAGACGAGTATATACAACAACTACGTGCTACGACCATTTTTCACGAAATACTAGAGAATAAAGTTATTGAAGTGAAACCTCCGGCCGATGACATTTATGATTTAGAGACGGTACTTAATTCCCCACAGCTAAAGCGCGATTTTGATTTTTGTTCGTTAATTGAAGAAGCTACAGAAAATATAATTCCTGTCGAAGTCCCAGAATTAGACGCGTACACCGCCGCCGTCGCGAGCGAGTTGAATTCCCCTGTTTGTGTTAATAATATCGTAAGGTCTGCCGAGGACCACATAGAATTCAGCGGAACTACGAATGTTATAATAACAGCTCTTTGTGAATTAATTGACTCTTAAATAAAAATAGAAGTATCAGAACATCGAGATTCTCACTTATTGACTGTCTAGCCCCCCCCCCCTTCCTCCCTCTATTTACCTACCAGCGTACGGCNATTTTTGTTCGTTAATTGAAGAAGCTACAGAAAATATAATTCCTGTCGAAGTCCCAGAATTAGACGCGTACACCGCCGCCGTCGCGAGCGAGTTGAATTCCCCTGTTTGTGTTAATAATATCGTAAGGTCTGCCGAGGACCACATAGAATTCAGCGGAACTACGAATGTTATAATAACAGCTCTTTGTGAATTAATTGACTCTTAAATAAAAATAGAAGTATCAGAACATCGAGATTCTCACTTATTGACTGTCTAGCCCTCCCTTCCTCCCTCTATTTATTTACCAGCGTACGGCGGGTGCTCTCAACTTTTCCGGGTTATGCCGGTGAATGCAGATAGCCGCCCAAGGATGCCCAAAACAAAAAGAGAGCAGCGCATTCTCGTTTCCGAGGGCCCGAGGACGTGACACTATATAAGAACCGAGTTTTGGTTTTGTCGGGTGCAGATTCATTTTTCTTTCACCATTCCATACTAGCTTCTTTGGATTCCGGGGAATAATGATGCACCCAACTTTCGTCGCAAGTCACAATTCGGTGCAAGAAAGCTTCCCTTTCGGCCTGATAGTGTGTCAATAGCCGTTCGCACACCTCCAAACGGTGCGGTTTCTGATTTCCGGTGAGAAGACGAGGGACCCATCTGGCAAACATTTTTCGAAACCCAAGGTCGTCAGTAATGATTTCCTAAGCACTGCTGAAGCTTATTCAGACCTCAGAAATAATTTCAGCTACCGTTAATCGACGTTAATCATCCTCGGTAAGGCTGCCACCCAGGTGAATATTCTCCTCTGTCACGCTGGTCCTCGTGTGACGTTAGTGCTCCTCATTTTCAACAGTTTCTCGTCCTTCTAAAAATTATTTGTGCTACTCGTACACTTGAGTCTTCTTAAACCTATTCTCCCCGAACTGTGCTTCAGACCTTCTCAACATGCCCGACGGTTTTACGCCTTCTGCAGTGAGAAATTTAATAGTAATTCGTTGTGCAACGGACGAGGGCACCTCCCGCTCTGACATTGTGATACTGATTAACGGAGTGCTAATGAGAGGTCGCGTAGGGGGGAATTTTCTATCATCCCCACCTATAACGCTAAGAAGCCTGGTCTCTCTCCATTCGCTTCACTACGAGAATAAAAATAATTCCGGTTCATATTTGATTCACCCTCGTATGATCGGTGAGACAATAAGTTCAGAATGCGCGGAGTTATTAAATCGATTCCAAATTTTAATACAGTAGCAAAGATAAGGAGAGTTATGAGGTTTATATAGATATAATGATGGTAAAGTGACGCGGGCACTAGTCTTTTACGCGAGGTGTTACAGTGCACATTTCAGGTTTACCTTGTTGATTACGGTAACGTATACCCCGAACGTAAGCAAATCTCTGCGATATTGTCAATTTAGATCGGTATCAATAAAAAATTCGACGCTTACGCTCTGTGTGTGTGTGTGTGTGTGTGTGTGTGTGTGTGTGTGTGACAACTACTCGCTAGCTGCAGGCTTATGTTTTGCGACGGTATCGCAGACCGTAGTGTTATTGCGCGCGGTGTCAGGCGCCGCGACCAGCTACTTGCAGCGCTAAGTATACGCATGCTGATAAAGCAGGGGGCCTTCACGACCTTTGAAGAAATTCCTATTTGTTTATAATGTAAAGATCGGTATTCCTGCTAATTGACGATGGTGATTGCCGAAACTAATTTAATTTAAATTAATAAGCTCAACAAATGGTTAATAAAAACTGTGAATTATTTTAATAAAACAAAGTATCATTAGCTTCTAACAGGTTGGACTAGTCTACTAACCGGCCCGACTTCAAGGTTCATGGTGAGTTTAATTTTTAGAAGTTAATTATTTGGAGGGCAAAAACGCACTATAACGTTCCTACAAATATGTGGATTAACAAACGGCCGGGACTATAGATTAACATTATAATTGATTTTAGACGCAGAAATGGGGCTGATACAATGTCAATAGGTAACTACCGGGGCGGAAAAAGAGCTTAGGGGAAGAAGAGCAAAAAAGAAAAACAAAAGAAAAAAGGAAGGTGGGAGGTTCCGTAATACCTCGGGACATAACAGTACGTAGGAAACATCATAAAAAGATATATTTGTGAAAATCGCTTTGAATCGATACCTTAGAAAGGACGTCCAAAATTATTTGATTCGCGAGATAAACGTAAAATTATTAGAAAAATATTACAAAATCCTAGTTTAAGTGCATTAAAATTGATTACAGAATTATATGAAGGGACTGGCGAGAAAGTACATCCTAAAACAGTTCGTCAAGCGTTAAAGAAAAGTAGTTACAATGGCAGAATTACCTGTAAAAAGCCAATAATAAATGAGGTAAATCGGAAGAAAAGATTAATTTTCGCTAAAGAGTTTATTTCTAAACAGCAAGAATGATGGAATGTGTAATATTCGCTGATGAGAGCAAATTTAAGATTTTTGAACCTGATGGATTGAAAATGTTATTGCGTAAACCAAACAAGGAACTTAAAATAAAAAAATTTTAGACCAACTTTGAAATGCGATAGCGGGAGTTTAACGATGTGGGGTTGTATATCAATTAGATATTAACGACTAACTGTATATACCATGTTGATTAATAAGTATTTAGAATGAAACATTAGTGGTGTTGCTACATCCAATGCGCCATGAATTTCCCGTAGTGCCAATCTTCAAACCTCTCGCTACACATTTGCAGACAGCTATGACAATCAGTATATTTGTGACAGCCACCAAAAGCATATATCATTTAATATTTTATAAAAATGGAGAAAACTAAAATTCGCGCAGTGATTAAGTATTTTTATTTGAAAAGCTTGCAACCACAAGAAATGATTGAGAAATTCTAAGAATCTGTGGAGAAATTTGCTTTGTCGAATTCAACCGTATATAACTGGATTGCTGAGTTTAAACTGGGTCATACCAGTATATCGTATGCATAACGCAGCGGTCGTCCAAATGAAGTGACTACATCAGAAATGAGTGAAAATATCTATGATATCGTGTTGGATGACCCCAAAATGAAATTGTGTGAACTAGCTGCGGCTGTGAGCATTTCATCTGAACGTGTGTTCAATATCTTACATAAATATTTTGGTATAAGAAAGCTAAGTGTAAGATGAGTGCCGCGATTGCCAATAACACAGGACCACAAAAAAAATCGATGAAAGGTTCTTTCGACCAGACTACGTGGATTATATGTTTTTTGGGTCGCTGAAACCAAATCCGAAGCTAGTTTTTCTCCATCATGTCAGGATTTTTCATAACCTCAAAATTAAGCCCAAAACTTAGCAACTCGTGGAATCATTAACCACCGCAAATTCTAATCACCGAAAATTCCTTGATCCCATAACCCTTCTACTTTGAAATCCCAAAAACGCATAATTTCATTACCACATAACCTCAAAACCCGACCCGATACAATAAAACGTATCTCTTACGTTAGAAAATCGCAGTAAATGAGCTCTTAATCAAAATATTGTAAACCTCATTATGTTCAAAACCTATAATCTCTTAACCCTTTTAGTGCCGGGCGAAAAAGAGGTGCTTATGCGAAGATAACCGGCCGATTTTACTAGGATTTGGTAAAAGGCTCATAAAAACCAAACGAAAAGCAATATTTAAAAATTATTTATTTTAATTCTCTCGTAATGAAATTAGACTATTTATAACGTATTTTAAATTTATTTTGATAGAGATCTCTCGCAATGCGAATAGTAAAGCGCTACAAGGTGCGGGCCGATATATCGGCTCTGGCACTTCTCGCCGGTGTAGCAGGAGCCGATATATCGGCTCCCGGCATTAAAAGAGTTAATCCCTTAACCCTTCAACCTGTTAACCCAAAAACCCTATAACCCCGTAACCACATAATTTCGAAACCCGATCAGAAACAGGGACACGCATCTCTAACGTCAGAATATCGCAGTAAATTAGCTGTTGATCAAAGTATTGTAAATCTCATCTTGTTCAAACTATATAGCCCCTCAACCCTTTAAGGAAATTCTTATCAAAAAGAAGTTTGAAAAATCTCAATTGTGCTATTTTTTTTCAAAATTGCAAAATGTCTTAGTACGTGAGACTGAAGCTCCGAATCTCAGTTTTAGCTCGTGTGTCGACATCCGGGGCACCTCCACATGGTGACGGTGGGCAACGGAGTTGTTCCGTGATCCGGCAGAGTCCTCGGATTGCGGCGCTCACACCGTCATGGTCGGCACACGAAAAAGTACGATGCAGGTATTTGGAACGCCAGTATCGGCGGCTGGTTCGGGCGAGAAAGTAGACCCACAGGCGTCGTCATCAAACGACTCCAGCTCTACATCGGTGGGTAACTTGGCCTTTGAAGAGTATGATGTTTCAAGAAAGCCTATATGTGATAATAGCGTAGACTCTTTCTGCGTTGTTTGTGGCGAATATCAGTTGTCAGTAAACTCATAAAGACATTCACAAATTTACTTAAAACTCGGTATACAGAATTTTTCGGTATAAAAATAGTGGACAATCAGTGGACTCCAAATTCTATATGCATGAGGTGTTCCTTGCAACTAAATAAACAGAAGAAACGGACGTTTGCTTCTCCAATGATCTGGCGGAAACCAGGAAATCACAAAGAGGATTGTTATTTTTGTTTAACGAATATTTTTGGGTACAACCAAAAGACAAAATCTTTAATTTCTTATGCAACTGTTAAATCTGTGACTTTTCCTACGCTTCTTAATGCTGAATAAAGTTCTGAAAGTTATATTACTTCCGATGAAATTGAAAGTGAAATGGAAACATTACAGGACGAAGATCTAGCTTATGGAGACAATGAGGATGTAGAGATGAACAGTGAAACATCGGAGGAATCAAAAGATGCGACTGATGTGGATTCTAAAGGTTTTACTCAAGAAGAGCTTAATGATTTGGTACGAGATGCAGGACTTTCAAAAGAAATATCTGAGCTGTTAGCGTCAAGACTGAAAGAAAAAAATTGCTTAACTCCAGGAACTCGTATCACTTTCTATCGCCATAGAAAAATTGAATTTAGAAAATATTTCACAAATATTAAAAATTTAGTCTATTGTAACGATATTGAAGGGCTTATAAAAGAATATAAAATTCCTTATAAATCCAACGACTGGCGTCTATTCATAGATTCTTCCACGCGAAGTTTAAAAGCAGTATTGCTACATAATGGCAACATATACGCTCCACTACCCGTTGGCCACTCAGTTGCGTTGAATAAAGAGTACCACAACCTTNGAAAAATCCTGACATGATGGAGAAAAACTGGCTTCGGATTCGGTTTCAGCGACCCAAAAAACATATAATCCACGTAGTCTGGTCGAAAGAACCTTTCATCGATTTTTTTTGTGGTCCTGTGTAATAGATCTAAAACGTGAATAAATTCGCAATTTTCAGTATTGTTTGGACAAATTTAGGCGAAAATAAAATAAATTTTTGCGCTGATACATAACTCTCGATGAAACATGGATCTACCATTATACACCTGAATCGAAACAACAGTTGACAGAATGGGTTCCAAAAGGTAGAAGTGCTCCGATGTGACGAAAGATGCAACAATCGGCTGAAGAAGTTCTGGCCACTATGTTTTGGGATGTACATGGAATAATCCTCATCGATTATCTTGAAAAAGGAAGAATGATTACAGGAAAATTTTATGTATCATTGTTGGACCGATTAAATAATGAAGAAAATAAAAAAGAAACGGCCTTATTTAGCAAAGAAAAAATTATATTTCATCAAGACAATGCACCAGCTTATAAATCGATAAAAACAAGAGCAAAATTGAGATATGAATTGATCCCACATCCACAATATTCTCCAAACCTGACTACGTGTGACTTCTACCCATTTCCAAATCTCAAAAGATGTCTACAGGGAAAGAGATTTGCATCAAATAAAGAGGTTGAATGGGAAACAGACGCATATTTGGGCGATTTAGAAATTTCTTATTATTTGGAAAACTTAAAGAAACTAGAAACTCGTTGGATTCGGTGTATTGAGCTAAAAGAAGATTATGTTGAAGACTGAAGTTGAGTTTTGCTAACAAAATGTTTTTTTATTTTCATTCTAAGGATTTAACAATCAACCTGGTATATGTTGTTATGTCCCAAGATATTCCGGAACATTCCTCTCTCTTTTGCTCTTCTTTATCGCTCTGCTTTCCCTATATTTTTCTTTCGCCGCGGTGGTCGCCAGTTGACATCGTACCAGGCCCACTTCTGCGTGCTTGAAATAAATTATAATATTAGGTTTTAGACCTGACTATATCGCTTATTAATTACCACGTAATTGTAAAAATGTAGCAGTTAGTATATTTTTCGCGCCCCAACCAACAGAATATTTATTTTTGAAATTAAACTCACCGTGAAACTCACCTTGATAGCCGGGCCTTATCACACTCACGACAAATAACGTGACCAGGGCGTTTTTATTTGTGGTCGTGTCGGTTAGTAAACCTGCATCCAACCTGTCAGAAACTAACGATATATTGTTTAAATATTTCACCTGTTTCCCTAACTCCTTTTCGAGCTTATTAATTTCAATTAAATCAAAACCAGCAGTCACTGCCGCCAAATAACAGAAGTTTGTTACATAGACTAACATCTTTTAAACAAAATTAGAATCACTTCAGAGATCAGTCTTGAAATTTCCATACCTTATCAGCATGCAAACATTTAGCACTAAAAGTTAGCGTCGCGGCGCCTGACACCGCACATAATAACGTTATCGTCTACGATTACTGTTCCAAATAATAAGTTTACGGCTAGCGAGTTATCGTCACACACATACAGCGTAAGTGGCGCGTTAAATTTTTCATTGATACTGACCTAATTTAGCAATGTCGCAAAGATTCACTTATATTCGCGGTCTATGTTCCTGTAATTTATAAAGCAAACCTCATATGTGCCCTGTGACACTGCGAGCGAAAGTCCGGTGCCAGCATCACTTTATCCCGCGTTTTTTAAACTTATGTTATGCTGCTTTCAGATATATTAGTAATACAAATAAGTTTCCGCCGTTTTCAAAAGATGGCTCCACCGACAAGATTACTGTGAAATCGTCAGATGTAAAACATCATATAGAAAGTTTGGACACCTGGCAACAACGTAACTTTAAAATACTATTGACTTTGTATTGGCAATATACATTTTTTTCGTTCGAAAATGTCGAGTTTTGTACCGAATAAGCGTCATTTGGGGGAAGTTTTGATTTTTTTTTTCATTTAAAGAAATCTGCTGCTGAGGCGCATCGGTCGCTTATAGAAGTTTACGGTGATGCTGCTTTAAGTGAGAGAAGTTGTCGTGAGTGGTTTCAAAAGTTTAAAAACGGCGAGTTTGATGTGGAAGATAAAGAACGCGAAGGAAGGCCACTAAAGTTTGAAGACGCTGAGTTAGAGGCATTATTGGACCAAGACTCATGCCAAACTCAAGAGCAGCTGGCAGAAAACTTGGGAGTGACTCAACAAGCGATTTCAAACCGTCTCAAGACCATTGGTATGGTACAAAAGCAAGGAAATTGGGTTCCGCATGAACTCAAACCCAGAGACGTGGAACGCCGTCTTTTCACGTGCGAACAACTTCTCCAAAGACAAATTCGGAAGGGTTTTTTGCATTGAATAGTGACGGGGGATGAAAAGTGGATCCACTACGACAACCCAAAGCGTAGGAAATCGTGGGGTAAGCCCGGTCATGCACCAATTTCAACGGCCAAACCGAATATTCATGGCAAGAAGCTAATGTTGTGCATCTGGTGGGATCAGCTCGGAGTAATCTATTACGAGCTACTCCAGCCTAACGAAACTATCACTGGAGAACGTTATCAACAGTAACTGATACAATTAAGCCAAGAATTGAAGCTTAAACGTCCCCAATATGCCAAAAGACATGACAGAGTAATTTTTCTACACGACAACGCTCGGCCACATGTTGCAATAGTCGTCAAGAATACTTTGGAAGCTTTACAATGGGATATCTTACCCCACCCGCCGTATTCACCAGACATTGCTCCTTCGGACTACCACTTGTTCCGGTCGATGGCTCACGTCCTGATAGAGCAGCACTTCACTTTTTACGAAGAAGCCAAAAATTGGGTCGATTCATGGGTAGCCTCAACAGATGAAGAGTTTTTTCGACGTGGCATCCGAATGCTGCCAGAAAGGTGGCAAAAAGTAGTAGCTAGTGACGGACAATATTTTGAATAAAATGTAAAATATATTTTTTTTACAATAAATTGATAATTTTTATAAAAAATGCGGCGGAAACTTATTTGTATTACCAATAATATGCGACATAGATAAACTAAAATTTTCTGCTCTGTAAGAACAGATGTATCAGGTCGTCTAGGATGAAATTTATAGACAAAAAGGCAAAATTGGTTGATAAATTACAAATATAAGGAATTATTTTATTCGTCAAAGTATGCACCCATATTGTCTATACACTTTTGCCATGTAAACGGCAGATTGTTCAGGCCGATGGTATTAAATCTTGGCGGACGAGAGTCAATGAATTCCTGGAAGGCCAGTTTTACAGCAGTGTCGGAATTAAATTGGTTTTTTATTAAAAAGGTGTCCAAATTGCGCAAGAAGTGTTAATCAGTGGGGGCTATATCTGGTGAGTAAGGAGAATGATAAAAAAATTCCAACTCCAATTCCCGTAGTTTTGCCACAGTCATTTGTGCAGTGTGTGGTCTAGTGTTATCATGCAATAAGATAGGATTCGATTGGTTAACCAATCTAGGCTGTTTTTCTTGAAGTTTTTGTATCATTTTGTACAGTTGGTTGCATATTTTTGCTGTGATTGATGAGCCAGGTTTTATAAAATCATAATGGATCACACCTGCGCTAGACCACAAAACACTCACCATCAGATTCTTTTCATGAATATTGCGCTTTGGAGTGTGTTTTGGTGATTTATCCTTGTCCAATCATTGTGCTGAACATTTGCGTTTGTCATATTGGATCCATTTCTCATCACAAGTGACGATTCGATTAAAAAATGGATCAGACATGTAACGAAAAAGCAACATCAAGCAAGCTTCCAAACGCTTTTGTTCTGTTTTTCATTTAGTTCATGTGGAACCCACTTATCCAACTTTTCACTTTACCGATTTGAGCTAAATGAGTTAATATTGTTTGTTTGCTAACACCAAACTTCAACGATAATTCATAGGCACTCTGAGATGGGTCAGACTGAACGGTGACTATTAGTTCGTCATTATTGACCTTTGATTCTGGGCGACCGCGTGGCTCATTTGTGAGATCAAAGTTACCTGTACGAAATTTGGCGAACCAATTTGATACTGTCTGCTGCGTAGTAACACTAAAGCCAAATACACTATTAATGTTTCGCGCGGTCTGCGATGCCGTAATTTCAAGTAAGAATTCATACTTTATAATAGTGCAAATTTCTGACCGTCCCATTTTCAACAAACTTAATTTTTAAAAAACGGTTTTAATATTTTTTAGAGCTTACAATGGTTTATTTAAACAGGAGATATGTTGCAACGTTACCTTCTTCTCCGCCCGGTCTTTGTCCACCTTTCGCGGTGGGAACGTCTTTCCGGAACGGTGTGAGAGAAGACTGGTCATCAGCTCGTTGACGCGGCGATCGTGGCCCTGGAATAGCTCGCCGGACGGCCGGGTTAGTTTTAATGAGCATGAGAGAGAGTTTTCGATTAACGAACAAAAAATTTATTGTCGGTTATAAACGCAGTTTCATGTGCGAGCGGATGTCAGCTTGGTATTATGAAGAATAATCTTTCTGGAAGACTCTAGATTCGTCGAAGAGTGTTGCTGCTGTCGTCGGTCGCATGTTTGTTATGACAGCTCAGCTGATCGATGAGTTTTGCGGTGAGATGGTTGCGCGGGATGGCAGACGCGGTTCGGTAGACGCGGTGATGTATACACGGTTTGACGCACAGTAGACGGTCGATAGA